CCCCGGTAAACACAGGCAAATCATGCAGTTCCGGGCGCGCACTGGACCAGGAAACAGGCGCCTCCACTCCATGACGTCGATAGAACTCTCGAAAATACTCGGACAGGGTGGCGAATCTGAGCTGTGATACAGAGAGAAAGAGGGAAAACAGTGAACACATCCATAGGATTAAAGTATTGGGATTATTGGGAATAAAAAATATCGGATTCATTGAATAAAGCGGTGTTTCACCTCACAATATACGATCTGAGATTAAAGCTACCGTCCGATGGAGATGCGGTGTTATCCTCATAAACAAAATACTTGAAAGTGTATAGCAATCAAACAAACTTAAACTCAATAGTGTTTTTGAAAGCAAGATAAGAAAATGATTCAACGGAAATACAAACCCTGTTCAGGGAAAGACTATCAAACAGAGATCGCGATGTAAGTTGTGTTGAACAGATGTACATACAGCCTAACATCGAATACAGACCATCGGCGCATTACCGCGTCCAAGATAAGAATAATGATCATCAAAGTGGTGATTACCACTGACTAATGCGGGATAAGGCCCAATAACCCTAGACGAGAGACGGCAGTAATCGAGAACGCAATGACATTTGTGTGGATAGTGATCGCTCTACACATAAATCTCAACAGCCTGATGATAGTATTGTTTGGTACTGGTTACCTCACCCCCAACGTTAGGTTACTGCGATTATTAGTTCCCAAATCAACCACTAACGGTCTTCCAGACACCTTATCTCGATACATCTTCAAATACGGTATTTGTGCCTAAGCCGAAATGATGATATCCTTAGGAGACATATCCTCATTCTTGTAGTAAATACTCAACCGGTGTCAGTCACAATTTCGGATCCTCTTGTCCCTCTGCTCTCTTATAATGTATTCACTTAACTGATCTTAGCTTATCCGCATTTACGCTGACAAGACGTGCGATCTTTCTGTTGTGGACTACAACTAACTNACTAACTAATTTGTGTTCATTCATGTTTGTGGCCAAACTGATTTATCGATCGATCAGTTGATCCATTGACTGACTGTTTGAATGTTGGCTTGACGACATTTGCATGTAGTGCGACGTGTGAGCCGGTGTCGGCCTGCCTGCCTTCCTACACGCTGCTTGCTGCTTGCTTCTTCCCCAGTTNTACATATTTGTCGTTTACAATAAACGTACTGCTTAATTCGTTATGTGTTCACCTTACTACTTAATTTGGACACAACACCTTCCATTGTCTCCAGTCCGCAATCAGTAACCCGATAAACCGAGGGTCACTACTTTTGACATAGTGTTCAATATTGTGGGATTTTTGAATGACTATATTAGATCTGTAAGACGTTTGTTTTTTGCTATGTATGATGAGCAAAACCGTTTGCTCACTGTTATATCAGAATACTCGATTGATCTAGCAGAACAATAAAGTTCATTATGGACGGATTCCGAGGATGACAATAATTCGTGCACAAAAAACCAAAACTAACCTTAACACGTAGCTCAGGATGTGCCTCTAAATAGTGAATGATTTGATTGTAATTGTTCAACTGCAACTCCCATTCGGTCGTAGACAGAAAGCGAAAATCATCACCGAGAGGAACCAGAAGAACCCCACGTTGGTTGTATAGGGTAGACTTCTTTCGATACTGATCTATCAATAACGCGGTCCTGTTGGTGAAGACAAAGTGAACTACAAGTTAAATCGGTTGGGTTATTTGACTCACATTATTATTATTATGTATACAGGTTATTTGTAGATAAAAGAGATTGCAGAATGTTCATGTAATGAAGAGGACGCTAGTTTTTGATTCCATTATAAATACATGCTTAGTTGTGACTCAAAAGATAGTGCTGGATGGTTGTTTTGTCGATGTTGAAACTCGTCAACAGTGCGTATTATTTTCTATCAGTACTATGATCTTAACGTTGAACCTTCAGAGTGGGGGTCGAATTATGTAACCATGAGCGAGAGCATAAATACAAAAATAGACTTATTCCATTTCGCCTGTTCGCCGAGTTTGGCAATTTGTTTGTAAACGTTTCATCACCAGCCGAGGTGACATTGTCAGTGCACGTGAAGTGACCAATGTACTTATTGGTGTTCTGACTCCTCTCGATTCTTCCTCAATAGAAGCCTTAATTAACTATCTCAAATTGTTGGGTGCCAAGCCATCAAGAGAGAGAGCGAGTACAGTGCAAGCGCACTCCATTGACTTCACACATGAGTGGATGATCAGAACAAATGTGACTCAGTCTGTAGGTCACCTGATCAGACGGAACCGGAATCCTATTGCGTCGGAGAGCGACTATTATCAGATTTATTCCCACTTTGTTTTATCCACTCGGGATGAGAAAAAGCAAGGCTGTCCGCATGTTTTCTAGACTATAGTGATGCTTTCAACACGATGGATAGGCGAACATGTTGCTCTCGCTTCAGGCGGCGTTCAACCTCACACGATTGAACACTTGGCCAACTATTTCTGCAACTGTCAGCCGTTCACAGGCTAGGAAGGCCGTACATCTTTACTGCTGCCCTACTAACAAGGCATACTATGAGACGCTATCTTATCCCCTTTTCAATTTCCGCTTACATTTCCTCTATGTTCGTGGGTAATTCCCCTCTTATCAATAAGTATGCTGACGATATAATACTGGGATTGCCCTAACCCGACAGATCATCTCAGACTACTCCACAAGATGACATGACAGAAAAAGTGCAGTAGTTTTAACAAAAGAACCTCCATAAGACCCCCTCCCAAAAAATGCAATGACGTAATTTTCTCTGTTTTGAAAGGTGGAAAGCATAATGAACTGTCAATTGCCAATCCCCCTTGATCTGCCTCAAACGACTAGATGAATCGACAACGGTCTGCCGGAAACCTTGGTGTTATATCGAACCGCAAACTCACCTGGTTCGACCACGTCAATAACATTTCTCCGAAGGTCAGAAGGTTTATGTTTTATGTGTTACATCTCAAGTCACTTTATATCCCAAATCATCTCATAAGGCGTGTTGTTTTTGCTTGCGTTTTGCCCGACTGACCTTTTGGATCCCTTGTTATCGTCTATCTAGACTTGACTTGAATGACTCCCCGGGCTTTTTAACAAGAACCACAAACTCACTTCTCGATCCTTCAAGTTTCTGTCGGTATGCAATCCTATGCTACGGGAACATCACCTCAAGTCCTGTAAAACATTCTCCAATAAGATTTTATCTGATATTTCCCATCCCCTTTAGTCTGATCTCATTCAGTGCTTTTCTTAGTCATCTACCCATTCCACCAGTAAACTTATAAAGGCACGCAGTGAAGTTTACCGGAGGGTGCCCGTATAAGCTCCATCACCACTGGGTCGAAGGTCCGATCACAAGTGTTCGCTCCTCCATAGCCCCTTCAGGTTCTCGTCCAGACGCCGTTT